GGTTGACAACATTTCCTGCAGGGAAGTATCTGGCCACCACAAATGAGGACCCGTCACTTGCAGATGCCTTTCCCACTCCCATCTTCTTTGTATTTTTCCATACCATGGCTGTGAAGTGTCCTGTCCCTGAGGTGAAGCCTGGCTGCTGGAAGTTGTAGCTCTTGATTTCATTGTACCACCTATCAGCCACTTCCTTCCCTGGCTGGTTGTAGGATGCCCAAGCCAGGTTCTCCCCACACTGGTTTCGACTGGCCTCCGAGCTGTGCTTGAGGATCCTTGTGCTGGCCAGGGCCTCGGAATACTTTTGAGCCTCCCGATTGAGCTTCTTGCAGAGTTTTAGTGAGGAGACCCCGTGCTTCTGCCGGTACTCATTGTGGGCCTTCAGGACCTCATTGTTGAACTGTTTGTAAGCTGATTTGCCCATGGCTGGCCTGCCCGCTCTTCTGCTCCCGCTGTGGCTCCCCTCACTCAGGCCGCTCGCGTGCCGGGCAGGCGGGAGTTCATCCATTTTTAAAGGGGGTGTATTAAAATAGCCCACGATTATTGTAGATTCACTATTTCTTTCTTCAATTCTATTAGAGTTTGCTTTATATACTTTGGAGCTCTTTCATTGGGAGCATAGACATTTATTATGGTTATGCCATCTTGTTCAATTGTCCCTTTAATCATGAGGTAAATGTCCATCTTTATGTATTTTGCTGATTTTTGCCTTAAAGTGTGTGCACCTTAGAAGCCTCCAGCAGTGGGTGGGAGTGTCTGCTTGCTCAGGCCCCTTCTCTAGTCACCACCGTTGAGGTGCGCAGATAGATATTAAGAAGTTAATGGGAGAAAGATTGCCTGTATTTTTGTCTCTGTAAGTTAGTTAGGTATCTGCGTGTGCACAGTGTAATTCTCGAGATAGTTGTGTCCTTTTATGTTGGGGTTTTTACAGATTGTTCATGTGGTTTGTTTGTCACGCCAGACCTCCTTTTTTCTTTGCTGCATAGGCCGGATTAAAGTTAATTTTAGGACTGTCACCCAGAGGCTGACATCATAAGTAGCCGCCAAAGAATTTGCCCTTGGTACCGATAAGGCTCTTTCTTTCTCTCTGTGCCATTGAAAACTGTGGGCTCAACACTGGACTTTTTTTAGGGGTGCGCGCCCACCTGTCTGAAGGTTTCCGGGATGGGTAAAGAAGGCGCGACTGGGAAGAGGAGTTAAAAGTCACTGCACAGCTTCTAGAGCTGGTTCCCTGGGCCAGTCGGGCTGAAATCCCGCCCACTGATCTCTGCCCGGGTGGGGTGGCTGCAGAGGAAGTCCCGTGTCTCCAGCAATTCCTAAATCGCAGTATCTTCCTTTATACCGTGATTTTTCCACTAGTGGGTGCGTGAGACATACGCACTGCACTTTATACTAGATCTAGAGCTCTAGTGCTGTTCCGTGAAAGCTGCCTCTCAGATTTTCAGTCCCTCCCCTACGTAGCCTGTCCTACCTGACTCTGCCTCAGCCACAGCCTAAACCAGAATTCTCCTGTTCGTTTTTTATTGCAATTAGCTTGGTATATTTTTTTTTTCCATCCTTTGACTTTTCATCTGTTTTTGTCTCTGTGTAAGATGTGTCTCTTACAGACAGCATATTGAAGGATCTTGTTTTCTTATCCATTCGGCCACCCTCCTATTAACTGGTGCATTTAATCTGTTTACATTCAGTGTAATTATTGATAGCTGTGGATTAATTGCCTCATATATATATTGTGTGTGTGTGTGGTGTTACTGCTTTCTTCTTTCTTCTGTGTGGCTTCCGTTGCTGAGTTCATGCTTTTGTGTTCTTTCTTGTGAGTTTCATCATAGTTTTAATGTTTCCATGTTCTTGTATTTTCATTTTCTTGGTATATTGTTAAGTGTTAGTTTTCTTTGAGGTTACCTTATATTCCATTAAATTTTCCCTCCATTTAGGGCAGTCTATATTATCCTGTAATCTACCTGACCTTCTCACCATCTGGATCTCTGTTCCTCTGTATTTACCTCATTTTACATTGTTGGCAATTGTTTTGATCATAGACTGACCTCCCAGAGTCTCTGAGTTTGTTCTTTTTTTTAAGTTCTTATTGTGAGGTTTAAATGGGAGAATATCAGCTTTACACTCACCGTATTTTATTTCATTGCAATGATTACAGTCCCCTCCATGCATCATAAAATTAACCCCAAAGGGCACACCACACAGGCCCTCCCTTCTCGGCCGCCAGCCCACAGCCCTTCTCCCTCCTTAAGTCCGGTGTCCCCAGCTGCTCCATCTGTCCACATCATCATCTCTTGTCTCCATCCCTGGCGTCACTGTCTCTCTGGGTGGGGTCATTTCTCCATTCTTCTCACTTGATGGTCCCAGGGACCTCCACTCCTGGGTTGCAAAATCAATTCTGAGTTTGTTCATATAGTTTTGTTCTGTTCTTGACTCTTACTTCTGTCGATTTATTCTGGGAGGTGCTGCCACGTATGTCAATCTCTGGATTTTGTCTGTTCCTGTTGGTTCTCAATCCACAGAACTTCCTTTTGGATGTTTGTAGTGCAGGGTTGGCTTTAGAAAAATCCCTTAGCCTCTGTTTATCCTGGAATGTTTTGCTACACCGTCATATTTGATTGATAGCTTTGCTGGGTAAAGGATTCTTGGTTGGCACTTTCTTTTTCTTTCAGGGTTTTATATATGTCTCCCTATTTCCTTCTTGCTTGCATGATTTCTGCTGAGAGATCTGAGCTTAATCTGACTTGCTACATAACAAGTATATAACACTTCCGTTTTCCTTAGCTGCTTTCAGGATTATCTGCTTATCTTTGACTTTGAAGAGCTTGATTATGATATTTTTGGCGATTTTCTTTTGGGCCTTTCCTTCCTGGGTTTCGTTGAGCTTCTTGAATGTTCATGTTTTCACTTTTCAGGATGTTAGGGAAATTCTCTTCCAAGTGTTCTTCAACTATTTCCTCTGTGGACTTCTGTGATTTTTCCTGTTCTGGATTACCGGTAATTCTTAAATTATTCCTCTTCATGTTGTCCAACATGAATCTTAGACCTTCTTCAGATTTTTTTAATCCTGTTTTCTGTTTGCTTCTCTGGGTGGGGTCCCACATTCCGCTTATTCCTTTTTTATAGATGGTCCTAGGATCCTCTGTTCTTGTACTGTAAGATTAACTACTGCCCCGTTTGTGGCACAAAACTTCTGCCTTTAGAGTTGTGACAGTCACAATTAGCTATAATAGAAATTATTCACTGTTGAGTCATAAGTATCTTATTCCCCTCTTCTTTCATCAGACTCATCTAGAGAAGATGCAAACTATTCTACTTTCCACTGCACATTCTGAAACTAATCCCCCCTTGAAAACTTGTAAGCCAGTCACTTCATGCCTTCATAGTCCCCCCCTCCTCCCATTTTATGTAGCTCATGTCTAAGTTGCCCATCCCTACCAACCCTATATACAGAAAGGGATAGGAGTAATACTTGATGTGAAGACTCCTTCTCTCTCAGTTGGTATTTTGAGCTACTACATCCATAAGTCAAGCTCATCAAATTGTAGCAATTTGCACATGTGTCCTTTAACAATACTTTTTATTTTTTTAATCTTCCTCTAGTGAGGATCTGATCATCAAGCCACCGAGGCTAGGTTGAATGAGTACTATCTACAAGTTTGGGTGTTCTTGTGCATCTTCCCTCAGTTCATTTCAGCTGGATGCTTTACTTTCAGCTATAGCCCTCCATGGCTATGTCCTTGTCCATGGGCTCAGGAGTCCCCATGTCTCACCACACTTTGGACCAACCAGCCTTTCCTCTCCTCTCTCTCATCCCCAGGTCGACAGGAGTCTATGGAACATGGTTGAACTCAGCCCATGTCTTCATTGAGGCTTTCACCCTCTTCCACTCACCAGAAGACCAACGTGTTCAACAGCAAGCTTACATGTCTGCTTGTGTGTTCCCTTTGAGTTTCAGTCTTGGAGGGGGATTTGCCAAGGCAACTTGATTGCTTGCCTTGGTGACTCTCGGGCGAACAATTTGCTTGTCCTTGTAGTTTTTTGCTGGTCTGTCTTTCAAGAAATGTCTTCTGTTCCTCTAACTGCTCCAGGCTGGTCTGCTTGTCCGTTCAAGTGAGAATGTCCCACCTCAGAAGGTTCTCGATGGGGCTCAGGATTCCACTTAAGGTCCTATACACTACAAAGGCTCCACAAGGAGCCTGTTTCAATGTGCAGATTCTACAGAAAGCTCGTAAGCTTTCTGTAGACAGCTTTTCTACAGAAAGCATGTTTCCCAATATTCCTTTCTATCCTACTCAAGTGTCTATTTTATAATAGTAGTCAAGGGAAACCAATATTTATATGACAGTTAAGCATCTTAACATTATTGATAGGAAAAGATTTCTTAAATACACTTTAAGAAGATGAGCCATAAAGGAAAATGTTATAAAATTTTAATGTTGTAATTAACAGTTTCTTTTTATATAAAGATACCATTGATAGAGTAAATGGCAAAGCACAAGAATGGGAGATGGTACATGAAATACTCAATGTCCATAGAGCATTATATCCAGATATATAAACAGTTAATGACATACAACAACCTAATTTTATATGTATTTGTTTATTTTTGGAACAAAGTTAATGCCGTCTGAATATTATATTAAGTCTGATAAATTGTGTTGTATAAATCTTATTTGTGCATCGAGAATGCCTTGGCTGTCCCTGGGTCTTTATATTTATCTATGAATTGTAGAATCAACTTGTCAGTTTCTACATTATAAAATAGAAAAGTGCTTGTATTTTGGTTGACATTTCATTGACTCTAGATTTATAGAGAATTGACATTGTTACAACAGTGAGACTTCCAAAAAATTGGCAAACTTGTATTTGCTTAGTACATTTTACATTTCTGTGAGGGTCAGGGTCAGGAGTGGATTACCTAATGAGCTATTTCAACACGGGCTTACCTGTGCTTGCTAATCTATAGTTATAACCAAGCACAAGTAGACGCATGCTTACCTTGCTTATTGAGTAATACAACATTGGTCAAGATACTTTGTGATTTCTGTGTTTTGTTGAATTAAGTGAAATGGCATTTTAAAAAGTCAATGGGGATGTTTCAGCATAGGCAAAAAATATGACATTATATGAAAAAGAAAAATTGCTGAAACAAAGACCTTGAGTAGATGAAGAGGAGATGGGAAGGATTTACTGTGTAATACAGCTATAGACAGCTCATCCATAGAAATACGAAAACCCCAAATGCAATCCCACTACGATCGAATTGATTCCAAATTATAGAGAATCCCGTAGAGGATTTCTGAGACTGTAAATCTATTTGGGAACAGAAAACCTCATATTTCTCCCACAACCTGTGTGAGAAATATGAAGGGTGGTTGTTGTGACGGAATGAATTTGAATTGCTTCTCTCTGATTGCATTTTTC